TTTAAGAATGATATAATAGGAAGTGATATTCTCGATTTCGTTCTAGTTTAAGGTTAAAGCTTAAACTAAATGTATGGTCTGCGTTCCGCAGGAATGAAACTTGCTTTTGATCTCATATAATTTAAAATTTTATTCAACCAGTTTACAGGTGTTGTGAAAATGTGCTCTTATTAAATATGCAGAAGAATTTTGTCGAACAGTTTGATTATGTGTTGCTAAATCGGCGGCTTTGTATTTACTACCATAAAGTTCATTTGAAAACAACTCCGCTAGCGTATGCAATTCGGGGCTCAATGTCACTGCTTTATAACTGTGTTAAATTCAAAAGCAACGGATACAGTGTGCGATGTACTCAGCTGCTGGTAGAACTGACCATTGGAGAATGCACGATTGCAATTTTTTGAGGATGCGGGATGCACTCTCGTGTGTCACATTTCGACTTCGTCTATGATATCAGCCCATTTCAGAATTTCAGACCACTAGTAGCGCGGTTTTCTTGAATAAATCATTTGGGTCGGTTGATTTTCTTTTTTGATTTATTCAAAACTGTAGAGCAAACTGGATTATTTCGGATGATCGAAAAGTTTTTACAATAGGCAAAATATTCGTATATTTTTCGGTCAGTCAAAGGAGTCACCAGAGATACAAAAATAGTAATTTAGATTCAGCGGGATTTCGTGCTCTTCTAAATCTATGAATAGAAGTTTTGTAGAACTTTCGATAAATGTCGTTAAGAATCGTAAAATGATGTTTCGTCGGAGAAAACCGATTGATCTGTGGGTATTTTTCGATGAAATATGCTTTCTACGAAACATCATTTTACGGTTCTTAACGTAACTGTTCGGTATAGGAAATATGACCCAATCTTTGAGAGAGACTGGAAAATAATACTCTTGGTGTTTTTAATCTGCAGGAAACTTTTTAGATTTACATGAAATTACCAACACATCGAATCAGAGAAAAATTCACAACGTATTCTAGATAGCTCCCTAGTGAACGCTGACTGAAGGGAGGCGCGAGCGTTGTCTTCGATTCAAAGGTCATTCGAAGATATAAGTTTCTCAAGTCAAGGTACAAAGCGAGTAGACGAGCGTTACCTTGTTTGTCGTTGTTCATGCATATATAAAGATAAACACTTGCACTACAGAACATTAAAAATTTTTAAAGTGAAACTGTTCACATAGTAATGCAGAGCTTGCACTGTAGTGATCTAGTACAAAAAATGAAAATATGAAGTAGAAAATAAAGTTTAAGATTTTCTTTCAAATTGCCAAATCTGTTAATGAAGATTCTGGTTATTGCATATTAAATTAATCATTTCAGAATTTTTGAAATATCTCGATAAGATCTGCTCAAGATTTATCAAGACAGATTCTGGTATACAAAACTTGTGGAAAATCTGCAGCACTGCTTTTCATTCAGAATTTCGAAAGATTTCGATAAATCTGCACAAGTTCTTGAAAGATCTGAGAGGGAACTTGAGAAACCGTTAAAGATTTATCAAGACCTGCATTCAAGAATCTTTTCTTGGGATAAATACTCCTGTAGAATGTACAGGGCATTTCCCAAAAAGACTAACTAAACGGAAAATATTTTGATTTTTTAATTCGAAAATCTACTTATCCTAGATGTAATCTATTATTCAAAACCAAAAAAAAATTTTCGTAAGACTCGGTTTCCTTGACCCAATTTTTAGGGGAACACGTCGGTCTATCTACTCTTGAAAAAGCACCAACAGTCTTGTATCTGAACTTTACGGGTTATGGTCTGATTTTTCAAAATCTAGAAAACCTTCCTCACCTCTTGTTGTCCAGTTATTCAAAACTGGCCATATTCCACAGTACTTTAAAATGTATAGTGTTTATAAAGTGATAGCGCAGAAAATGATATTATGAGTGTTAACGAACCATATGAGTCAGACGCATGAATGAAAAAGGTTTATGTTACTCGTATTGTTTTCTTTCTCAAAAAGTTGTTTTTGAGAAGTTTTAGAGGCAGTCTGTAAAACAAAACTCTAACCAATGATAATATTTTGGAAAAAACTCGTACCCATGCCAACGCCCATCACTAAAAGTTTTTTGTCCATGCTACCCATGGGCATGACCGCAGATGTCTAATAAACAGTATGCCTAAATAAAGACTCCTTTTCTTACCGTTGAATATAACTCTCATTATCAAGAGCAATTCATAATTAATAATTAAAGATAATTGTCCTGCGTCAATACTACACGATGGTAAACCTGTGATTACTAATACGCGTGTTGTACCCAATCGAAATTCCTTCATATTGAGATCACGCTGTCACAATCCATTTCACCATGCTGAAAGAAACATATGCTACTCAAGTAGGTCGAAAAAACGCACAGATGCTCGGACTGGTTCCTGTATTGAACACTAAAGCCCTAAACGGGAGTCCTGATAGCGCACGCTCGGAATCCATTTACTCGTTCTCATACTCTTCTTAGCGAGCACTCTAGATGACCGTACAAGACTAATCCACCAATCTTCACTAGTTGCAGACTCGTCCTTTTACCATTCTGCGACCATTCATAACATATTCATAACTTTCAGCAAATGTTTGCCATATCAAAGTGTGGTTATGAATTTTTTTTCTCATTATCTCTTACTGTTCCGGGATTTTTCAGAGTCCAAGGTCAAAAGCCCACCCTTCACCGTAGGGCACTTTTTTTAAATACACTTCAAGCTAGAGATCTCGGGATGATTTTATTTTAAACTACTATCTATGTAAAAATATAGTGTACTTCGATAAATCGCTAATAACTTTTCAACAATATGTGATAGCGGCATTCGGTTTTCAGATTCAGCAGCTAGATAGAATTTGCTACAAAACCATGTAGTCAGCAGATTTTTCGAAAAGATTTTCCTTAGAAAATCTGGCTTTGCAAAAGTCAGAAAAACGCTGGTTTTCTGGAAAATCTCGATTTTTTTCTTTACTACTAGACTAGTACTGTCAGACACGCTGATTTCGAATCTGAAAGAATTGTTTGTCTGTCATTTTTCGCTTCGAAGATTCAGGCCTTTTCCGAGGAGACACCTATGAGGAGATTTTCACGCTAGAGCAATAAAGAAAATATGGAATGTAGGGTTGTTTTACATGCTGATCACCGTGGCAATGTTTATTTTGCTTCAAAGAATTATCTTTGAGAAATTTTGCCGAATTTTCTGGCGTTTTAGATCAACCGCGTCTCTCCTTTTTCCTTAGCATAAAAGTGAGTAAAAATATGGAATTGCGCACAGCTGATGGACGATGTCTTTTTTGGCTGTTCTCTTCTGCCAATAAACAGCTTGTTCGGTATTGACCGAATGTTAATGCCTAGTTTTCTGTACATTCTCTTTCGCGCTGTTTGTTACTATTTGTCTTTTTGCGTTATAGTCTGTTTCTATTTCTTTTTGTTGCTATTTCTTCGTAGTCTATCTGTAGTTGAGCGGACGAATATTTATATTTCATTCTTTTGTAACATCTAACAAGCTGTTTATTGACAGAAGAGAACAGACAATAGAAGACATCGTTCATCAGCTGTGTGTGACATATTTTTCACGTTTTTAAGTTGAAGAGCTGGAGCCAATATAGAATTTTTGTACAACAACAGCAGTGAAATCACGCATCTTTTAATCGTTAATACGCCCTTTTCGAGTTTTTGATGCGATTTTATTTGGCTAAGCAATGTAAACGTGGAAAATATGTCATTTTGTAGAGAAATGAACGTTCTGTCTAAGAGTATGTTTAAAAAAGATTCTTGATGTACTTTGCAGCTGGGAGGTTTTCTGGAAAATCCGGGATTTCAAACACCTATATCTCAGAAACCGAAGATAAGGTATTGGGCTCTCAGTTGATTCATATGTTTCAAAACGTGTAGAGTCCGAAAATGTGCATTGGAATCAACAAAAATGAGGAAAACGTAGTTTAAAATAGCTTAAATCAAATAAGGGCAGTAATGCTTGTGAAGGGAGTTATCAGCAGGTATACAGGAGCGATGCATACAATTAAAAACAGCATTTCTAGATAGAACTAACGACGAGGAATCTGATACACATATTACTTTTGAGTTTAGAGTTTGATTTGATGGTGAAAAACGCATTTTAATACGACGGATTCTTATGATTTTCACCATCTTAAAACAAGTGTAGTGAACAATAAAGCATTTTGAAATGTTTTTAAATGAGCCGTTTTATTCCTTGTTGTCTCTAGTCTACATCATAAAGCGTTCATGTTTATTGCTTTTGTCATTTCTGAGATAATTAGGTATGAATTGCGTCTTGGAACCTATAAAATTTCCACATGTCCCAGCTCCCCAGAACCCCATGTCGATGTTTTAAAGTTTTTTAAATGACGCATTCTTACTCAGAATTAAATGCTCTTTCAAATGAGATATGTCGCGATTTGTGCGACAAACCTTCATGTAAATATGAGACAGTACCGAAAGAATTATCCCTATACAAAAATGTATTGAACATATTTTTATGTAGCCCAAAAAAAAGAATTTAAATGAGATACTATGATTCTTTAATCTTGGATTACTTTCTAACTTAAATATTATTATTAATTTAAAATTATTTCGAACACGTTGTCACAGATATTGAACAAGCAATTAGAATGGTGTGCTCCGAATGTGATCCGTTGTGAAAGATGCTCGTTACTTCATACTGATCTTTTATTCATTGTTTACAAAAACAGATTGTTTTGTTTCGTTTCACAAAGCTGGAGTGAAAAAAGAGAAACGCACATCACATTGATTCAGTTGTTTTTCACACTCTTAAATAAAATAGTGAGGTATTATCGTGTAGCACACCGTGTACATCAGACAAAAAAAAGAACATACACAAAAAGAAAAATAAGCGATCAAAGGAAACAATGATTGACTCAGTTAACGCACAAAGACTGTCACATGCATTATATCTCACTTTAGAATAAAGGGAATACAAAAGAAATATTTGATTAAGCACATAAACAAGTAGTTAGAAAAACAGAACGTTTTCTTTTATAAAGGCATTTGTGTGAACAGATAAGAAACAGATTCACCGTTATGAGTACGACGTATTGCTTCAGAAAACATCATCGACACGTCAATTACCTAAATAAAAGAAATAAAACTATTCAGACCCTAGTTTTCAAGTCGGCATTAATCAACCTAACGAGAAGATAACTCTCCTTACCTGTACTTTAGCTGAATTTTTCATATTTTCATCCTGTGGAATTGTATTAGTAACAACAACAGCTTCGAATGGTGAATTATTAATACGGCTAATAGCTGGGCCACTAAATATTCCATCTAAAAAAATAATAAAATCAGTAAATAGACAAAAAACAAACAGAACAATAAACATACGTGTGCATATGGCATATATTTTACTTGCTCCTGCATTTAACAGTCTAAAATGAGATAATCCATATGTAACTTTTTAAAAGTAAGCACCTCACTTGACTACTATAGTCAAATGATTAGTACAGCTAACAAGTTTTTGTTTGTAAACTATGTACTTTTGTGAAGCACATTCAAATGTTCCACATGTATCAGCCATATCATCAACAAGTATAGCAATTTTATTTTTAACATCACCCACAAGTACCATTGAATCAATTTCACTTGCTCGTTTACGTTCTTTATGAATCAAGGCAAAATCAATATTTAAACGATCGGCTATCGATGTTACACTAAAAAAAAGCCAGTAAAAGTAAAGTTCAATAATAAACGACGATCATATCTGATGAAAACTCATACCGTTTTGCACCTGAAAAATGTAAAACAGAGAAAAATAGTATATATCTGGTGACAAAATTTAAACATGTTTCATTACCTCCAGCATCTGGACTAACAATAACAGCATTTTTATAATCTGGAATTTTTAACAATATCCATCTAATAACAGCTAAAAAGTAGAATAAGTTACTAGTTTCAATAGAATAAATTCTTTTGTACTTCTTGCCTGGCTCAGCAAACAAATTATCAACAGGTATATCAAAAAAACCCTAAAAACATCGATAAATAGAGGTTGATTTTACATGTTTTTTAACTAACCTGAATTTGTGATGCATGTAAATCCATTGTTATGATATGATCAGCACCGGATACACTTAGCATATTTGCAACTAATTTAGCTGAAATTGGAGCACGACTCTACAAAACATTTACAACGACAATATTATTTAAAATTTGTTTTTTTTGCAGCATTAATCTTACTTTATCTTTTCTATCTTGTCTAGCATATGGGAAACATGGTATCACAGCTGTTACTCTCGATGCTGATGCTATTTTACAAGCATTTATCATAATTAGTAGTTCCATTAAATTATCATTGATTTCACCACATCCACTTTGAACAATGAACACATCTTCACCACGAACCGATTCATTGATTTCAACACTAGAAAACTAGCAGAGAACTTAGATACTATATAAGACTATTGTACACAAACAAATGATGCCTATTCACCTTGTTTCTCTATTACTAAATTTTTTTGTTATTACGCTTCCCGGTTCCAAGCCTAACCGAGAACATATCAATTTTGTTAAATCTGGATGTGATGATCCACCGAATACTTTGATGTTGGGCATCTTTGGTTTTAAACAGATGGATGATGTCGAAGTAGTTATGAAAGAATCTCGATTATTTAATGTAGCTGTTGTTGTTGTTATATTAAAAGTGAAATGAGCGGTCGTCGATGAAGTTGTTAATACTGTCAAATGCGGAGAACAAGATGAAATAGTTCTTGTCGCAGCAGAAGCGACAGGAGTATTTAATAATTGTTCGTCGAGTTTTTGTTGTTCGAGTTTGTGATTAATAATGGCAACAGGCGAACTTTCATCATCTACAAAGAGTGAAATAAAAAGAAGAAACCTGGACAATAGTCAGTTTCAAATTTTGTCTCAGGTGCTGTATGCATGACACAAGAGTGGTCAATTAATATATGAGAGTTTACGTAAGAATTATACCTCAATATTCACTGATCATTCATTTTTTTACATTAAATCATAGTGATGACCCATATCGTTGATTTTTTAATACTGACAGCGCAATGTGGATCCACAATTGCGATCCTGCGATCATAATTTCGCATAATTGTGCACAATTTGTCCGCATTGTGCGACGCAAGTTTACCGCGACCGAAAACATGAACAATGATTACTCTGATAAAACACAGAAAACATCATATATTTTAACAAAAACATGAAGGAAAGAATTAATAACAAGAATTAATAATAAGTTTATTTTGTACATATCATAGCTGAATACAGAGATAGTGATCATTTCATATGAGAACATTGCATCGATAAATTTATGGCAAAAACATATCTGAATATTTCGGATAATTAAAAAAATGGATTCAGATAACTGAATACATCCAGTCTTCATGCTTTTCCTACAAGTGAATGAAATCATACTATTACGAGTTGGTCGATGGAGATGCTACCATTGATAGAGCTATTTATCGGACAAGGTAGCAAAAAAAATTCCACTCTCACGCTTAGAACGACATCCAAAACGAAAAACTGAATATTCAAAACTGTAGAAGATGGGGTCCTCTCATAAAATGAGGAAATATTACTGAAATGTGTTCTTAAGAATGATGAAGTTGTAACTAGTTGAAGCATTTCTTAATCAAATTATCTCGTTTCATGCACAAACATTATCATCACTTACACAAATGTTCATTATTTTGTTGCTCGTTCATCTCTGTTATTATTTTCACAATAATAGTTCAATTATATGATATAATAAAACTGGTGAACAACTTCTTTTTACTAAAACTAAATATGCTGCATATATAAAATGGAAAAGAACGGAAAATGTTCATTTTTACCGTCAACTATGGAAGAAAAATAAAGAAAAAAAGAGAAATTGAATGAACGAAAATGTAGACGTTAAAAATTTAATCTAAACAATAAAAAATGATGTCAGATATTTGACGGCATGGCTTAATGGTTATGCTACCGTTACGTACTGCAAACTTACTATATTCGAATCTGGACGCTAGCAGGTCGTGGACTAGCTAATTATATCTTCTTTTCTTGGATCAATCATCTGACGGATACTTACTACGCGGTGACGTATAGCTACTCTGCCTAGCTTGCATAGCTTTACGGAAAGCTACTACGTGGTTAGCGAATGTGTATGGGGAGCTCAAGTAATTGTGTGAAAGAATTCTGCGTCAGGCTAGCCTTCTGTCCAAAAAAGAGCTGTGGTTGATGATTAGTAACGAAATAGGTGACAATGTCAAAACCTTGTCAGCTGCAGGAAAGATATCGAACTATTGAAGTTTCCATTTCGTGACACTTCACGTTACCCTACACCGGTAACGTTAACCGCAAGATGGGATATTCTTCCTTCTTCTTCCAGATGTTGGCATAATAATGTCAATATATCAAAATGAAAACAAGTGTTAAGAGAATTAACTCTAAATACTACTTTATTTTATTAATAAACTATCGCTATAACATCTTTTAGACAATTAAAACTAGTTCCGTATGTATTATATTCATATCGACACGATTTAACATGAATATAAATCATATTATTATCTACACACACAAAAACAAATGGAATTCGTGATAATCAAGTTACCCACATAAAAATAACTAACTACTGAAGAATGATGTTTAGAAAAAACATTTCTCAAACAGTATACGTAAGAAATAGTCATTTTTAAAGTTACTTTAAAAATAAAATTTATGAATGAAAAGATATTTGACAGTCCAAAACGATTTTAAATCAATTATTAACCGCTATTCTCTGAAACGTGTAGAATAACTTTTCTTCTCTTTTAGTGTTATCATTTTTCTAAATCACCACCTGCTATATGACCGAACATTTCAACAAGTAGAAAATGAGCATGCATTTATTATCAAACGTCATTATTCATATCTGATTTGATTATTTCAATGACTAATTTAACACTTCAAATATCAATAAATGCTAATATTCAATTATTTAGTTTAAGTCTATTTTACAATAAATATCAAGTAGTCTCGAAGAAAGAAGGACAGCTATCGATTAATTTATCCACTGACCTATATGCGTGTCATATTTTAAAAAACCCACCGATTATTATTTTACTTGAAACGAGATACTACATAAGCTTTAATGTCAATTTGTATTAAAATCATACTTTCACGCATCTGCAAATATTCTCACATATTCAATCATATTTTCACTTAATCATTTACATTACTACTGTTTTTTATTTTTAGAAAAAAAATATATCCATGACTAACTATATGGATAAATTAGATTTTACTGAACTATTCATGGAAAGAAAAAAACAAATATATATATCAACAAAGCATTTATTCAGTAAAAAAACATTATTTTATTTTTATATTTCCGGACAAACGAATGATCAATGAGAGAAAGAGAAAAAATATAGTATACAACTATATACACCACCTTTTGTTCGTGTTTTAGCAACAACCAAAGTGAAAGATTTTTATAAGCTTTTTATGATAAAATTATATGACTATTGTAAACATTAATGTCGTCAGATCAGCTCTACTCTATAACTGAGTGTACATTTTTTTACAAAATGTTCAGCTGATCGAAACGCAGTAGCGTTTGTCTGTGAATAATATTAAAACAAATGAAAATTTTCAAGTATCTAGATTTTATATTAGATCAATGCTTATCGTTTTCTTCGCATATAGAAGACGTATGTTTACGTGCTCGAAAGAGATTCAGTGCGTTAAGATGTGCGTGTGTAGCAGACGTTGAGGGCTCTATCTTCATACATGTGCTTTTTATAACACATTTATTCGTTTTCTTTATCAGCTCTCTCGTGTATTTCTGAGTCCAATTGGACGAAACTTCGTGTTTAAAACGCTGCGGTCAAAATTTCTTACCATTTATCCATATAATATTCTACTATCGAGCTACACATTCTCTCTTCATGTGACATGTTAAAAACATATTTTAAAACTCGCTTCATCTTTTATCAATTATGCTGTTATATATAATAAACTTGTTGTTTTTTATTGTTAACTTCTACCGCAAGCACGAACGAACGAAAATGCACAATGTATCGTTTGCTTTCTCATATAAATTCGATAAAAACAATTGTATGCAGACTGTTAGAGAGATGTAAATAGAGAGATTTATGTTTTTTATGTACAAAAGCAGAGAAAAATGAATTTTATTCCTCTCCGTTTAATGCCAAAACAAATTTTTAGATTTTTTTTTTCGGTAAGCAATTATAGATTTTTACACTATAGTGCAAACGGGCATCCAAGCATTTTCTTTTGAAATAAATTATCATCACTATATACAACAGTTCATTTATTCATTCACAAAGCTCATCTTTTTTCAAAAAAAATAAAAATAAAGAAAAAGACGTATTTTATTGTATTATAAGTGGTATGGGACCGAGTAAGAAAAAGGAGCTATTCAATTTAGAATGTTATTGTTATAAAAAATGAGTGACATTATAAAATGAGGATGTTATATGAGCGGTTTCCGCTGCTCTACCATTTCTATGAAGAAGATGTAAAAAAATAAACTTAAGTGTGAACTTATTTTGACTATTTCAATAAATTCTGACAGTCCAAGCAATGATAAAAAAACTAATTTTCCCGATCGTCATATGCATTTTTCTTAACAAATGAGTTTTTGCTGCGACAACCACAAAAATCCCCGAGCCCATTGTGATAAAGACGACATAAAATGAGCTTTATAACTTTGTTCTAATACGTCAACCGATAAATTTCGATAACGATGTGCCATACAATACACTTTAATGCTAGTTAAAGTTTCTGAGATAATGTATCATTCAGTATTCTTCAGGTCTAAAATGCCAATTACTATATAAGAAACTTATAAAAAATAGTGAAACTCCTCTACAGTAGCCAAGAGATGGTATTGGGAATAGTGTACACTAACATAGAGGAATACCGAAAATTGTTGCTGTATTTAAGATGAATACACTACACTTTCAAAAAGGATACATCACTCTGTAAAGATGAATACCCCTCCCGAATAAGATCATTACACTGCTCTGTTGAGAGGAATACGTCGCCAGGTTAAGATGAATACACCCCGGGAGGGGGCGGTCAAAAAGTAGATCAGAATCAAGGCTTTTCGAGTATAAAACTCAACTCCTTCTCCTTTGGAGATACTGAAGGAGTTTCACAAAGCACACATGGCTATAATTGTCTCGTCGAGTTCTATCGAATAGTATATGACAAAGCCAAATTTAGTGTATTTTTTATGGAGATATAACGGGTTTAATCTCATGGGACAATTTGACTCTGAAACTGTGGACTATCTTTTGGCTATTTTCGATACAGGTTATATTTAGTTTTAGCTGAGATTTGCGAGATTCAATGTTACAAGACAGAAAATGACTAAAGTGTCTGTAATAACATTATTTTGATTTATTTGCATAGAAAATCGAATCAAAGAGTTAATTCATTTATAGATCTCGAGATAACTTCATCTTCTGCTGCAAATGCTTCATACGAAACGAATTTAAAATTCATTCCTTCTTAAACTAGGATCATGTTTTAACGGCAGAAGGCACTAAAATCCTACGCATACAACAATGTAATTGTTCTATCCCTGCGACAGGATCAGTTAAAGATCTGTCCTTTATATCAATAGTGAGCAAAGGACAAATAAAATAAGAAAAAATTAAAAATCCATTTGGTAGAAAAAAAGCTTTTGAATTTCTACTTCTCGGATATCAACGATACAACAGCAGCACAAAGCACTCATATGAGCTTGTATTTTAATTTTCTAGAGCACCCTACATACTCAGGATGTTATTGAATTTGGTTTTTTTCTTTTTCTAAAAGAATTATATACCACTAAATCGATACGTAATGCCAAACTTGTAAATAACTAACGTTCAGAATAAAATATTCTTTAGCAGGAATTTACATTTTTTTCTCTGGAAAGAGAAAAAATGTTATCATTGAATGAATTTCAGAATATAAATGACGAAAATCAAATTTTATTATAACACCAACAATTTATGTACAAAATAAAAACTAAAATAAGTTTCTTTTTAGAGAAACATTCATCGTATGAAGTTAATCTTTATCACGTACAACTTTAATAAAACATTCTATCAGTAAATTAGTTTAAAAATATTTTAAATATGTAAAAGTTATGCAACAATAAAAGGCGTAACCAATTTCAATACAAATAATTTATGCTCATAAGAGCCAATAACACAGAAAATACAGATATGATTTTTATATGTTGTTATCTTCCTCTTTTCTATGGCGCAACAATAGATCGTCTCAATACAGTTTTGTCTTATAAAAAAACAAGAAACTTTTAAACAAAAATAAAAACAAAACAGATATTAGGCAGTCGTTTTAGACAACTGTTTTGATGAACTGGATTTTTACGAAAAAAAAACTGACAGTAAGAGCAACTGACGCTAAATTTACACAATACGAAAATGATGTTTTGACACACTAAACAGTAAATCTGTAATAGATTAAGAATTTATCACTAAATAAATATCTTTATTATGTGTGCCCAGCAACGATTTTGAATTAAACTAAATAAAAGCAAAAAGTAGAAACCTTCGCTGTTGTACTGAAATTTCGCCCAGAATCCAGAATACTGTGAATAATCGTAGCTGAGCTTTCTAGACAACAAAAAACTCTTTATCTCATCCTATTTAATGTTAGAAAATATTTGTAAAATTTATAAGAAAACATACAAATAATACAAAACAAAAAAACAAACAAACTGTTTTAAAAAAAACGTGGAGAAAACAATGTAATTAGTTAAAAAATGGACCAATAAAAAACTTGAGTAAGCGTTTATAATAGCGAAAAAGTAGTACATATACTCTATTCGACACATAGAGAAACGTTGTTTCTTTTATAGTGGCGAGGTTACACCAATTAGTATCGAGCAGGTGAAAGGAGTTAGTCATTCATTATCCCACACACACGCGACACTATCGCAAACAAGCCGCAATCTTTCTTTAGTTTAAAAGCAAACTATCAAAAACATTTCGCTAAATATACATAGTACATTATCATTTCTATGCCCACAACGATGTTTTATTCTATCTTCTATGCATAAGCCCATCCACTGTTTTTTCATTATAGAATATACCTGTATAAACACTCTGTGTATTGACACCCTGAAAAGTGCATGTATATTCATTAAACACTTTGCTAAAAACAAAGACAGATTGCATCGTGTATAGTTTGAAATTTAGATTGCGCGTGGATACATATGGTTATGTGTCAATAGGGAGATTAGTAAAAAACCTGTGGTTTTGTGGTAAACAAGAATTGAGATTTTCATCTCTAAATTTTTATAATTGTGTCTATTATTTATCTGTACTTGTTTTAAAACAAAACTGATAGTATAGTAGTAAAACTTTTCTGTTTCTTTTAATTGGTTGACACGCCAAATTCAGAATTTGTATTCTTTGTAAAAAAAGAAAGAAGAAACACAATGCATACGTATATGCTGCGCTCGTTAGAGGAACTAAGATGATCTACAAATGTTAGAACTTTTAAGTGAACATTCACAGAGGTATTCCTAGAGACCTCATTTCATTGATTTTAGATATGTCTAGAAGTCAGGTAGCTTGAATTATTCAACTTCTGTAAACTTAGTTGTTTTTTTAAAGCGAAGAATATTGCTTGCTATGATTGCAGTATATCGAGGTGTAGATATATATGTCGCATTTTGACGTATCTAAAATTTTCAGTTTATATATACGATTCTTTTTTTTCTTTTCTCAGATAGTTACAAAGCCTATAGTGACAACTCATTAATATGGAACAACGAAAGTAAATAAATAAATACATATGAATTCTGCAGTGTATACCACTTATCATCAAGCAAATCATCCTTATGTTGATCCTACTGGGTAAGCTACGATGTTTACTTTACTGATTATTTTGTTGTGGACGAGAAAACGTGCTCGTAGTAAGCGATCATCTACATCTCTTCATAGTTTCTCCGAACGTTTAATTGAACTGTTAGTTTATTGCACGATTATATCTGATGAGATAGATGTTGATCATCGTAACTAGTTCTGCTCAGAATTGCAAAATATATGGATAGTTTCCTGCATAGATTTTAACTTTAAAGTATTGAAGACATTTCTTTCGAAGAATATTTTCAGTGTAAAAGTCCTATAATAATTATCTAAATAATAGCATTGATTATTCTGTGATTATTATGATTGTTTTTTTCAGTGTTTTCAGTGCTACTCGACGAAATTTTTATGATGTATTTTTAAAAACAATTACTGATCAACGTTTACCATCCAACTCATCATCAACTGAAAATATTTTATGTCAAAGTCTTGTTGAAAATTATTCTACCGATAACAAAATACAATCATCATCCAATGAATCTCCTTCTAAAGGAAAACATGCTTATCATATGGCAAAACTACGTTCGGAAAATCCAGAATATCGTCGTACTGAACGTGAACGTAATGCACAAGCCATGGCTAAATTACGTTTAGAAAACCCGATTTATCGTCAACAAGAACGTCAACGAAATCGAATAGCTATGGCTAAACTAAGAAGTAATCCATTGTATCGACAACAAGAGCGAATTCGGAATGCACAAGCAATGGCATTGAAACGAAGTGGTTCAATAACAAATAAAGCAATGGTTGTGCACGATTCGCCCGAAATAAAACCATATCATTTTCAAGTACTTGAAACAAATTTAAATTCATCACATATCTCATTTATACCATATAAAGACAGTTTAATACAAGCATCCGAGACATGTTGTACACAAGATAAAACGTCACGTCACGCTTTGGAAATGGCGCGGTTACGTTCAAATCCAGAATATCGTCAACAAGAGAGAATACGAAATGCAGCTGCTATGGCTTTAAAACGTCAGATAGATCCATTATACGGGAAAAAAAATCGTCGAAGAAGAAAACAAATAGAAGAAGAAGAACAACGACGTGAATGTGAAGTACTAACGCGTGTTGATATTTATTGTAGACAGAGCACAGCTGTTTAGATAATATGGACAGTATTGTTCTCGTTTTGATTTGTTTTTTTTACTTTCTTGTTTCTGTTTGTACAAAGATTTTTGCTTTCGATGAAAATTTCTTTTTCTCTTTGTTTTTGTTTTTTATTACTTTAAATAAGTTGTTTGAAAAGATTGGGAAAATACTTTGCCCTAATCTGACACGAGTTACATATTCTTTGTTTCTCTGATTAAAAACTTTTGTTTTGGATATAATTGCAAAACATCTGTAAAGTTATTCTCGATGTGTGAAATTGTGATTCTAAGTATACCCATAATAAGTTAACATAACGGCATGAGATAGTTGTTGTGTACTTAAAATATTCTAGCGTTATTCATCAGCACAATCTACATTCAAACTTACTCGTGCAGTTTTAATATAAGATTCTGATGCCTGTGGTCTCCTCAGAATTTCTGAAAAATATTTCTCAGATTAGGTATGCACCGGTTTCGGTTTTGAAACCTAAAAAAAATGTTTGAAATTTTTTCAATGTCGGTTTAAACCGAATATCGTTTTTTTCTGTGTCGGTTTTAAAATGATATAATCAGTTAGCACATAACATCTATTTATGCCAAAGAAACATCTAATTTTATCTGTACCAGTTCCGGTGTACCAACAATCAAAAACCCCAAACTGCTAAAACCAGAAAAAACGTAATCTTTCTTTTGTTCTGCTAGACTTAGACAGCGTCTAATAGATACTGTTTTTATGCTTTGGTGCTAGTTTAAACTTTTTATGTAAAATAAGAAAAAAAATAACTAGTAATAATCACAAGCAAGTGGGTAACAGTAATCATTATTTTGTATAGATACAAAAACAATATAAGCAACAGTAAGGGTTAAGAGAAACAGCAAGAATATATCTCATGGTTTTTTGGTTAGGCTGTTTGTTGATCAAACAGGTTCAGAAGCTATCATTTATCTAATAAATGCTCTTTCTTTAAAAGACGGCTATCAAGACAATATTTTACAATAATACTAAGTCTGAATTAACTACTAGTGACGATCTATGTTGATATACATTGGCATGAGAGAGGACAAGAAGGCTATGCACGCAATTAATTTTCTCTTGCAGCCATCTTCAAAGTAAAATAGTCTCATCTACGAAAATCTCCCACAATGCTACTAATCGTAATACTAAAAAATCGTACTTTTTTATTATGTTTCGCATTTTTTTATCCTAAAGTACAATTTTCTTTCAATTGGAGGGTCATAATCTGATTCAGAATCAAAAACTGCATCAGTGTAATATATTTTAAAACTCGGTCCAAGTTAAATGTAGGACACAACGGCAGAGATGGGCGAGTACATGGATTTCTGAGTACGAGTAGAGGTACGAGTATTTTCTGAAAAGTACTCAAGTATTTTTTTTCTGAAGAAGCCGGTGGATTCGAAAAAATTTCCGAATAAATCGATTTTTTTATGCGTATTTAAAAGAGAAAGGTCACCAGTTTTGGGGGGAATACTTGAGTATTTTTTAAAATACTCGTTAAAAAAAGTCCCAAGTACGAGTACTAGGAATTTTGTACTCGAGTATACTCGTACTTACCCATCTCTGCACAACAGACCTAACAACAACATTAAAAGCATATTTTTCATCATTTTCGCTACTTAAGAACAAACAAAAACAAGAAAAAGATTTTTGGACTGGATATGACAAATAATTTTACCTATAAAAAAACTTATTATGAAGTAGATGGGTCCAGTGGAAAGGTAGCGAACTCGTATTCGACAACTTAAATTTTTTTTAATGAACAGAAAAAGCATCTTTAAGAAAAATGAATATGATTTTTGTGATCAGTATCGTCGATTACATATATTTCGACGAAAATTGCACGAAAAAAATTTTTTCGAAAATCTGAGTAACAAGTTTTGTTCCAAATTTTTCTCTCATGACCATGAACTTTTGTTTAAACTATCGTGACACTCCTTTAACCCTTTAAAGCCCAATGTCTGTTTGAATGGACATTGGACTGAATCAAGTGTTGAAGCCTTGGGGACTTAAAGGGTTAAACTTATAATTCATGTAGATAAGTTACGATGTTTGCTTTACTGATTATTTTGTTGTGGAACGTGTTCTCTTTAATTTGGAAACTTCGTTCTAAGCTCATTCGATAGAAGAATTTAATTCTGAACAGGCCTATGTGGCTAGTGAGTTATGCCTTGAAAAGTTTCACGGAATATTCGTTGGAAAATACACAAGACCAGAGAGCGGAACAGAAAACTGAGTTTTTTAGCGCTTAAGATTCTTTTTTACGCAAGAATTCCCACACGAAACTTTGCTCTAAAATACATACATACGCCAGAAAAAGCAAAATTTAGCGCAGAATTTTATAATATATTTGGAAGTTTAGTGGGATTTTTGCGGGACGAGGGATTTTCTACTTTTTGGAGTGTCGCAGCAGGAACCTCGAGTATGTGTTGATGTTTTAAATATTACTCCGCAGCTTATGCTTCATCCAAAACCATTCATTCATTTAAGTTAAGCCCATGCATGTGTGCGACTAAGGTTTATTGGCTACAGTTACGTAAAAATCGAGTATGGATTATGTCTTCAGGTTTTATATCATTTCTCATAGAAAATTTTTCAAGAAAGCTTTTCTGTTCAATTATTCTTTGTATAAATTCGTGTCACCAGTAATTTAATGGTCACAATAACGATCACGCGTGTTCATTACCACTATCATGATAGTCACGTACATCTCTACGAGGCGTGTTCATAAGCAGAACCGGAAAGTTCAGTACGGGAAATTTTTAGCGCGGAACATTCAGCACGAAAATTTCAGCACTGGAAAATTGAGCACAGGGATGTTGAGTACCAAGAAAAATCAGCGTAAATATTGAATTTATTGAATAAGGAGTAATTCTGACGCAGCATTCTTATTCGTCGTTTTATACACACAACAGAATAGTAAACGAGCGATTGCTGAATCAGACATGTCTTAGGAGCAACGATACAGAGCTATTTATTAGTAAAAATGACTCATCTCTACCTTTGTAGCAATCTGTAACCGTAACTAACCATTGACTATTGAGAGTACGATACGCAATTTAGTCGCCAAATTTTTGAAGTTCAAGTGTTGTACCATCAATTGTACATGTATGTTGGTGTTCCTCCATGTATTTATACTATCGAGTAATAAATTAATTTCTACGCATTAAAGATTACTAATTCGATGAAGTTTACACTGATGATTACTGTTCATGCTTAAATTTTAATGTTTGTTAAATTTACATACACGATTAGGTACTGAGATATAATATCACTATCTTTCTCTAAACCAGCATATCTGAGTAGAAATATTTTAAACGGGTAATCGTTTTGATGCTTAAATATTCAAATAACTATTTCTTTATACTTTAAACATGTTTTTTTTTCTGTTTTGAATCGACTTCATAATTACAGGTTATTAATTTATACGATAGAATTTGTATTCGCTGACTATGACTGTAGATGTAAACCGGTATAATTAAACTCATAACAGTTAAATGTAACACGATCAAACACAGACATGATGAAATCTACAGTTTAGGTCTATTCTGACTATCAGTCTCTTCTTCGTTTATTTCTGCTATTACTAACACCACCCTTAGAAAAATATCTCTCACGATTAAATTCTCGAATATATTGTTTGTGATATCGAATACTTTTTTGTGTTATTTTATTGATATTTAACTGTCGTTTATATTTGGCTAATCGTTGTTCAGCATTTGCTTTTTCAGCAACAGCTGCTTTAAATTGTTTTCTATCTGGATCCAATTGTGTACCATCTAGAGCATATTCCTTACATCCCAACATTGAATTTAATTCTTGTTTTATTTCATCATCTAAATTACTTGTATTGACATAAGTAGATAAGGCATTTGATTTACTTGAATGATGACGATCAAATTTTGATAGTTGAGCAGTAATTGTTTTGGCAGTATTTAGTTTTTTTACGTATGGAAATAAATTTGTATCATTAAAATTGATAATGGGTATATGACGATGTCGACGAATATTACATTTTTTAGTTAAACAAAACTGTTTTAGTTCACCATCAGACATAAATATATCGTCATCATTCTTTTGAATGTTTTCATCTTTTTCACAACAAAGAAACAAATCATTTTCAACTAACCAACCAGATAAATTTGTCAACGTTTTTTTTTCATACGTCATTTTTCTGAAATTTCATAAACATAATATATTTTCACTAATGTTACCAAGGAAATTAGTAGACAAAGTAGATTTAGAGATGTGAGATGACTGTTCTGGAAAGGAATATAGTGAGATTAAAAAAAGCACATATATTATGTTGACCGATGGATATTTCAGTATCAAAAATAAGTGATCGTTCCTAAATATTCATCCCTCAAAAGTCCTCTAATATATATGTATGTACAGCTTCGTTATCATAGGGATAGAACGGAATATGTGTGCATAGACAGTTTTTTAAATTTTAGAGTTATTTTGTTTCGTTATGCTACGGCAAGGTGTTGAACACCTAGGCTTTCTAGATCTTTCTATGAGAAATGATACAAAACTTGGAAGCATAATCCATATTCGATTTTTACGTAACTGTAGCCAGTAAATCTTCGTTGTGCATATGCATGCTCTTAACTGGAATGAATAAATAGTTTTGGATGAACTACAAGCTTAAGGAACTTGGCCGTACAACGGTATAGTATCGATACACTATAACGACAGGACCCCATCAATAAACTAACAGTTCGATCTAACGTTCGGAGAAACTGTGAAGAGATGTAATGAATACAAGCAATGGAATACAAACAAATATTCCAAATATATCATAAAATTCTGCGCATCATATGATGCTATATATAAACAGTTCTAAATTATGTTGTATTGTAGCTATATCGAAGCTATATCGACTTCTGCCGCTAAAAAATTTCTGCCGCTGTGAATTTCCAGAACATATTTTGGCGCTGTCAGATTGTAGAGCACGTTGAATTATCTATGTGGAAAAATGTCCCGAATTAACAAACAAGTTTTCGTTGACGAAGAAAAACCTTAGGGTTCAAAAACCTGAAATATTTTGGTTCCCTACCAGAGACCGAATCGGGTCTTAGGTGGACGACCCGAACCCGACCCGAAGACTTTTTTACCCGAACTTGACCTGACCCGAATCAATATTTCTTTGTGAGCCCGAACCCGAAAGCTTTCTTAGGTGACCTAATAAATTTTTCTGGAAGAAGAGCACAAGCCTACAGCTTTGGTAGTAGCCTAGAATGGTTCTCTGATTTTTTGTCCAAGTGGTACTTCATTCGAATTGTGATAACCCGAAAACAGGAAATCTTTCTCGATCGGATATTGTCATGAAGTTTAATCATCATAATGCGACGCATATTGAAGGCACTCGTTTTTCTGGATTCACTTATGTTTCCATTTTTTCTTTTGTACAGTGTACATTACACAGCATCAAAGCAAGAAGGAAAAAACACTTCTTTTTCCGATAAAAAAGGCACATGTTGAAAAATAGATGAGTGAATCGTAACCGAAGAAAATTCCCTGATTTGATTGCAAGTGGCGTGATCCGAATAAAACCCGAAAATTTTTTTTCCCTTGGCCCGACCCGAATCAATATTTTTTATCTTAACCCGAATCCGACCCGAAACGACGGGACCCGAAACGACGGGACCCGAACAGTTTTGGTCTCTGTTCCCTACTGGGTTAAAAAGTAAAATTTTTCCATCTCTGCGAAAACTTGTTCGTTAGTTCTGGACAATTTCCACATAGGTAATTCAACTTGCTCTACAATCTGGCAGTGCTAAAATATGTTCAGCTAGAAGTTCACAGCGGGTCTTCGGACACCCGAATTTCAGAGACAAGTTTTCGCTCCAAGTTTTGTATCATCAAATTTCGGGTCGGGTAAAAAAGCTTCGGGTCGAGTCGGGTTCGGGCTCACAAAGAAATATTGATTCGGGTCAGGTCAAGTTCGGGTAAAAAAGTCTTCGGGTCGGGTTCGGGTCATCCACCTAAGACCCGATTCGATCTCTGGTAGGGAGCCAAAATATTTCAGAACTAAAAGCCTAGCAGCACAAGCGGATATCAGGTTCGTGATCAACATCAAAAATCACCTACAATCGTATATGTTTTAAGGAAAACGCGATTGGACACTTGGGAAGGTTCCCTCGTAACATATTAATAGTCAATGCATAGTTTCTTTGTGAATAATGTCATACCTTGTAATTTTTAAGAAAACGATAGAGCTGATCAAGTTGAGCAAGAATTTGACTGATGTTTCTTGACGATCTTGAAAGAAGCTACCACGCTCTTATTTTCAATGTTTTTGCAATCAACAAGGCTTCGAACACAAACAGTTTTTAATGGAGTCGAGTGCTCGGAAAGCACTACAAGATTGCGTTGACAAAAACACCAAAAAGGCTCACGCATATGGCAAAGTTTTTGAAAATTACGACAACCTAGTGAAAAACAGCAGTATTTTGCCATTTTCATCATCAAACAGTATTTTTTCCGAAAATCAAAACGCCTTCAATATATCTAAATATAATTTTTTTCATTATGGAGCACGAATGTCAGAGGCTTTAGTTTGATTATATTGAAACGAATGTTCATCACGTGGCAATCGAACAAACTCGTAAATATGTGGATGACCTGCAAAATTACTTTCCAAACGCTTGTTATAACTCTCCACATTTGTCACGTCGTCACAGGTCGTATTGAGTACAATATCCATCCTCAACGCCTGAACTGTTCGTTCGTACAATATTTTATCTATTTTTAGAAAAGAGCATAAATATCTGGGACGAACTGAGAGTAAACCAGCAGAACAGAAGACTTATTACTGACGCTTTTAAAATACTGACGTTTGCAAAACTGCTTTTAATGAAAAATAAAACACGCACGTTTTTATTCATATTTCTATTATCTTATTATCTCCGAAAAACTTATATTAATATATATACAAAATAAAATATTTTTCCAGTTGCATTTCCGAATCTTTTGCGTAACACACAAACACAAGTACATATCTTGATTGATTTTGCTTCAGGATTAAAATTAATACTTTTATACATATTTACCATGCTCAAATTTGTCATGGCTCTTGTTTATCCGTACGCGGATTCGTCACTATATGCCACATACAAAAAATGATCTTCATCTGCATGTTGCTTATACAAATCACCCATTGTCATTGATGTTTGCGGGATGGTATTATTAACGAAAAAGAACAGAGCATTTTCAGGAGGTAGCTGAATACGTTTTCGAATAAGAAAATAAAACTGCCCCACTGTTAAATCATTTGGTACTAAAAATTTTTTTGATGTTAATTCTGGAATATGTGAGTGTGGTGCTCGTTCAACAATTGTCGGTACACGATCAGAATATTCACGACGAATACGTAAACCTTCTTTGCGACGATTTTCAAGTGTACTGGCAGTTTTGAATTCCCAACGCATTTTTGTAATTAGTAATATACTATGAAATTAGTGAAATTTGTCTAAAAATAGTCATACAAATACTGATGTCCTGTGCTTATTTCGAGCTAATATCCTTAAAATAACTCATGTGTTGATAGTGACAGTGAAGAACTAACTAACGAACAATAAAGAATCTTGTTGTTGTGCATAAAACGTCCGAGAACTTATTTCAGTTCAGATAAATACCGAAAGAATCAGTTTTGAACAACTCCGACGTTAAGAGATCGACGATATTTTCAATTAGTAAGCTGAGCTCAAATTATGAGATACGCTTATTCAGTTCAAACTCACATCCGAGATTAAAATGGATAGCAGTACTATAAGACGACGGTAATTCGACATTGTAAAAGAAATGCTTTGTTGATCTTTTCAATTTTTAAAGCCGCTTTATTCTGATTCTCCATGTTAAACTGAGTATAGAAAACTGAATTTAATAAAATGAACATCAACAGTGATCAAAAGATTTCGCAAACACGAGCAGAACAGGTGAAAAACCCACCTTATATCGCAAACCTTTTTGTTGAAAACCTTAAAAATGACATTTTTCTATGTAACTCTATTTAACCATGACAAAAAAGGCAACATTTTTTCTACTGGATTTTCGAATTGCCGGCGCCTTACTTCTTATTAATATATTCCACAGATATAGCATCTTATTTCACTATACTCTGAACTTGAATACTCTGAAAGTTTATTTTTACTATCAAACCTCTACTAAAAATGCTAAGAAATTTATACCCACATAATTGTGAAAGGCGCTTATAAATGTAAACTTACTCACGAAAACAAGATAAAAACATTTATTGACGTAGTGAGAACGTTTTTCTTTTCTCTATTGTAACGAAAGCATATCATCACGAACAGCGGGAAGAAAAGGAAAGAGTCCGAGAAACAGAACAGAAAAAACAAGCCTTAAACAATACTACGTCTTCTCTCTGTTATTATATGTTCTTTTATTTATCTTTTCTAGTGTTTTGTGAATCATTTCCTACTGAATCTGACCCCACATATGAATAATAAATTTCAAATGCGCAATACGTGTATTTATCATCATCATTATGACACTACATTATAGTTGAAAAAAATCGATTGTACTCACCCCATTTAGATTGAACTGAAACTTTCAGACATCAATAATAAACTATACTTCTATACTTTAGGAAAGTTTTGTGTTTACACATTCTATAGTTTAGGAGGTACTTTTGCGATCTTAGCGCTGAATGCATGAACCTCGTCGCCACTACACTTGATAAATTGTTTTATAAACAGAAGGTGTTATAAAAACCATTATTCTGGTATCGAAATTAATAAATCAACAGTACAAATACTTTTATAACATCTTAGATCCGCCCTTACTAGCTTAGGCTATCGAACTATCCAAAAATCTGATGTGTGTTTGTAGTTTTCGACTTTATAGTTAAAGAAACTTGTACAGATTCTATGTTGAGTGTTAGTAGGACACTTATGTTCCAGTGTTGGTAGTTCATCTATAAATGTTACTGTGCTCAGATTTTCCTCCTTCGGAATAAAAGTTATTTCGTAGTCTACACAAATGATATCGAATAGATTAACTGGAATAATATCGGAATAAGAATGTCCGTTACGACAATTAGATGGAAACTGATGGTTCAATAGTTAAAGAAAATGTATCTTTTATTGTACATTGTGAGAGAGATGAAAAAAAACGATTTTACTCGCGCCAGTCAGATTGAACTGAAGATACGATTGAACATTATTACGATTTAAAAGCCAACAAGTGAATAAAAATAAATTTTTGTACAACAGTAGTCATTTATTTAATTTAATAATTTAAAATTATCTTGACGTTTCAATTCTTCATAGAGTCATTTTCAAAAGTTAAATTTAATTTGAGAAGCTCCTGTACTAATATTCTTCTCCACAATCTCGCTTTATCATTAACAACAGAGCATTTAATTATTTGAAGTTTAGCTAAAACAGCTGGACTAACCGAGGTCTCAATATGAGACAACACATTTTTTGAGAGACGATGAACGCGACTCAATAATCTACGTTTGTACTTAATTTCAGTTTTCAATAAAATTTCTTTTAAATTTAATAACTGCTCGGCTACTTTGCCTTGGTAACTTGATACGAATAAACGTCGGTTTCAACTTTCTACACATACCTGCTTTCAAGAATATTAAATCTAATTCAGTTTTTCTAATTGCAACTTACATAATCCCGAAAATAGAGTGATGCAGATAAGTATCACAATTTCGACTGGGATAATTGGAATATAATTGAGTGAGACAGGATTCAATATCGTTTACTTATTAAGGAGTCTCTCTCCATTTTAGCAGTGGAATCTGGTTTAAATGGTACAATTCGATCGGTACCGTTCATTGTATTTCCTGATGGTTTATCTATGAATCATAAGAAAATATAGGATCCAGGCGGTTTACACACATTGAAGAAAATAGAAGGAGAGAAAAGGAATGAACAGTCAGGAAGTCAATAGAATAAGTAAAAGAAAACTCATGTTTTTCTCTTCGTCTCTATTCTGATCAGTAGTAAAATCCCAAGTAGACTAGTTTCATCATTCTCTTTATCGAAATTTTAACTGTATATAGTTTATATTTCACTTTTGACAGTGTCTCTATGAAGAGTCGAAACATCAAGATAAATTTGAATTATTAAATTACATAAATGACTGCTGCTGTACAAAAATTTATTTTTAGATTGAACTGAACTTTTGAGAAATCAATAAGAAACTGTACTTATATACTTTAGGCAAGTTTCATGTTTACACGTTCTATGGTTTAAGAGGTATTTTTGCGATCATTGCGCTGAATACATTTTAACCCATCAGGCCCCACTCCCGTCGGATCAGAAATGCCGATTTTTGGGGTCATTTTTCTCTCGTACCACTGACGACGGGAATGTCCTACCATGCACCGCTGTGAATCAAACCAGTCACAGAATCTATCAGAGTCTTTTGAAACAACATCTTCAACTTTTATAATTGATCTGTTTTTTCTTGTGCCTTGTCAACAAAATATGTTAAAGTGTATCTGTGCCATATATGAGTCTGTCATATAAGGTTATATTTCAAATGGAACTTACTCTTTTTAGTACCAATATAGATGAAAAAAGTCGTTCGAGGAGTGCGACGAGTACTCGACCCCACGGAAGTTGGCACTTCGGACCCTCGATATAAGCTTTCGTGTGGTATCGATTTCGAGCCTTCGGATTTCAGACAGGTAGAGAGCCCTCGAGAAAAGTTTCGAGTCGTCGAATAGAGATGTTCGGGACTTCTGAGCTCTCACTCTCTTGAGGGTGCGCGAGGATTCGGAAGTCCCCGGAATCCGACGAGGGCTTGGAAATACTCCTCGAAAGCTTATATCGAGGGTCCGAAATGCCATTTTTCGAGGGCTCGAGCCCTCGATCATCGAAAGCACATTTCGGAGCACTCGAAGTACCCCTTGAAAAACTGGTTGGGTGGTTCTTTATTTTATTTTCGGTGTCGCATTAGCATAAACTAGCCTTCCTTTACAACAACCACACTGTAAAAAAAAAAGTGCTACAAAAAGTGTTTTTTAAGAAAACTGTTTTGCTATAAAGCGCATGACTAAACATAGCTCTTTCAGGTATAGAGAAAATAAATTACTTTTGATCTGCTGTAAACTAGAGCACTTCGTGAAAAAACGCGCTTTCAACGTGATTGCAAAGAAAGCATTTTCAAAAATGTATAGTAGAAAGATGAATTGAAGTGACCCCAGAGAAAACACTGTGACAAATAGTATGACATGAAGCACTTTTTTGAAAAGACACTTTTTAAAGTCATGTTGACAAGTCATTCACCTCGTTTATTTTGCTATTACTACTAGTATATATGTAACGCTGATGTTCTTCGAATAACTTAGAAATTTTTCTCTTGAACGACTATACAAGTCATCGACGCTTGTCTCGAAGAAGTCGCCTTAGCCTATGGATTAGTATTAGTAATAGTATCAGACTTTTGAAACGGGTACTAATTATAGTTCCGTGGTTCAAAGGAACCAAAAACTAACAAAATTAGAAAATCACATTTATAAGTTCAAAATCAAATATAACGAAATTTGACAAATGTCGTTCGAAAAAGTGGCCTAGAGAAGAGCACTTTCAAAGGCGATCTCTTGTGGCGCTGATCCTATTTGTAGTGGTCTTTATTTGATTTACTTTTCAAGTAAATCAAAACTGGGGAGCGCTTTGCAAGCGATTTTCTTTAAAGCACTTTTCAAAGTGTTCTCCAGTCAAACACTTCACAAGCACGGCAAAACAAGATCAGTACTACCGGAGAACGCTTTCTTTTTTACAGTGCATGCTTGCAAAAATAAAAATTCAGTTCAGTTCAGTTCAGTTCAACGAGAACTTTGAACTTTTATCTATTTTGCCAACAAAAACAAAAATAAAGCATTGTTGAACCCGACAGCAGGAAAAGTGCAACCTTATAATCTAAAACTCTGCCACCTTAAATGAGTAGAAAAGAAGAAACAAAAACAGACAAGAATAATAAAATGAGAATAAAAAAGCGACACAATCATCATAAAAAGCTTAAAAAACTTTCTAAGTACGCTTCTATATCTAGGCAAAAAATATTGTGGAAGTATTTTTGAACAATGGAATATAATAAAACCAACGAACTGTTACATTTTGCACATGTAAATGTGTTCTAAGAGCTCTTTTCAAACGTCTCACAGTGTGAAAAGACACCACATTCTCTGGTAAAGTATTCCACTCAGTTGTGGTTCTACGAAAGAATGAGGATGCAACGTGAGCTTTCCTTACAGTCGACTGTCTTAACTTGCCGAGTGTTTTGTCTATCAGAGTTAAGGGTACTTCCTCCCCTCTTTTTTGCAGAAAAGTTTCATTTTGCGCTGAACATAGTCTGATATAGCGGAAAGTCTGGGCTATAAAATGAGACCGCTCCTAGCTGGTCATGACCTTCCTTGAAAAAATTATGAAGTTTTTAAGTTTTTCCTTCAAAGCCTCGAAAATCTCAATTTTTAGGTTCGTAAATTTTTCTCCCCATTCCTATACATTCAAAATTTTTCCAAAATAGTGCGATCGAGCACAAACCTTTACCCCAGATACTTTAGATCCTATCTCAGGATGTAAATTTTTTTTAAACGTTTTCGATTTCGACTTGCGTGAGAGGCGTGAGAAGGTTTTTTAAAATAAGAAACTGTTCTTTTATACAGGATTTTTAGTATTTTTCGAATATCTCGAGAAGGAAAGCATATTTTTCGAGAAAAAATTTTATATCCTCAGATAGGGTCTAAAGTATCTATGGTAAAATTTTGAGCTCGATTGGACCATTTTTTCGAGAGGTCGTAATGTGACCCGATGAAAACTGGTGTTTCCTAGAAAACCTATAGAAGAGCACATCAGAAAATTCTCAGGAAAATTCTGGGCAAAAATACATCGATTTTCTTTTTTCGATATCCTGTCCCCGATATAAATTTCGCCTCGATCGGATATCGGTTTCCAAGACGGTTCAAAAAGGGGGGGAGGGGGTGCAACGGCTCATCGCCATTACATTATCCTCCTTCAACGATCTTATGGCACATTTTGGAAAATCTTGATAGTTCGAAGCTTCGCGAATTTTATATTAAAACTTTCTTTTTCTTTTAATAAATGCTAGAAGGTAGATTGTGTTCTTTAAATATTAGCGAAGAAAAGTCAATTGAGAATCGAAGACGAACGTTTTACTGAGATACTCGCTTAATGAAAAGGAGAACCAGATTTAATAAAGGTGATAAAATATAAACTCATGTTTTAACTGATCTTTTATTTTTGTGATTGTATAAGAACATCAGTTGAACAACAGTATAAAGTTTCAGTTTCTGCATTGAATCAGTCTAGCATGTTCGCGATAACTTTGATATCTCTTTCCTCGAATTCTAAATCTTGAAGATGTTTTATGAATTCACTCTTGTTTTCCGTCACAAACCACGCCTCGTCGGCGAAGAAAATCCAGAAAAAATTAATCTGATGAATCTAACCAAAGTTATCCGCAGAATCTTTAGTTATCAGTACCAAAGTTATGTAGTCATATTTGTTTCTTCTTGGTATTCTTCTCTTATTTCTTCGCTTACCTATAGTGCGATAGACATAAGTAGACAATCGTTCTACAATTATATAGATCAATCTTTTTCTTCTTTTCTTTCTCTCCATTCGTCGTTGACATGACGACTTGTTGAAATTCTCAGCCTTTATCTTCTTCTTTACCTTTATTACGTAACCCCAAAGAAGATGCCTGACTTCATCGTCTACTTTTAGTTATTAACAAGAAATTTATATGATGAGCATTCGTCTTTTTTTATCTCTCACTTCTTTGTGTGTATGTCTTTCATCAGATCTTCTCTGAATTTGACACTCATATTGTTCACACCCATATCTTCACTTACACCCATACAAACACCAACACGCACAAACACAGATCCACACCCACCCCATTTATATAATTGTAGAACGATTGTCTATTTATGTCCATCGCACTTGACCATTGTGTACTAATAGTATAAATAGAATGTGTGAACCGATTAGGATCATGTTACTTGTTCTATATAAAAAAAAATGACAGCGTGTAATACGACAACAACAACTATTCAACCTAATGATAGTGAAAAACTGTTTTATAGTGAACTTGATAAATATATAGATTCATTAAGTGTTAAATTTCGAGAAATAAGTGTCATAAAGATGAAAGTTTGTGAGGATATTGTGCAAGCATTATTATTACAAAAAGGTAAGACATTTGGTTCATTTTCTCCAAAATTTGTTTTTTGGGCGAAACAAACTTTTTTATTGTTGAAAATAGTGGGTATTGATATTGCATGTTGTGTAAAAACAAAAAAAATTGTCTGTATTTATGAATCTTTCTTCAATGTAATAAGCGAACGTCATGTCTCGGTTTCTCATGGTGGTCGCGATAAAACTCTTTGTGAAGTGAATTCTCATTCTTCGTGGGTTCCTCGTCCAGCTATTGAAATTTTTTTAAAACATTGTACACCTTGCCAAGTTAGAAAACCAATTAAACAACATGTAGTCTCCAAACCAATAATATCCTTAGGTGTCATCACACGGTTACAAATCGATTTAGTTGACATGCATACTAGACCAGATAAAATTGAACAAGACGTTGTTTTTAATTGAATCTTAAATTGTATCGATCACTTTAGTAAATTTTGCAGGACTTTTCCGTTGAAAAATAAATCGGCTGTGGATGTGTCTGTTAAATTAAGAGAATTATTTTTTGTTTTTGGTCCACCACGATTGCTTCATAGTGATAATGGAAAGGAGTTTGTTGCTAGCGTTATAACTGAATTAAAAAGATTGTTTCCTGATCTTTGTTTTATACGAGGACGTCCTCGCCGTCCTCGAAGTCAAGGTTGTATCGAACGAGCAAATGGTGTAATTTGTGATGCTCTTGGAAAATGGTTGACAACAAACAACTTCATTCACTGGAAGGTCAGAAGGTCTTTTACCTGTGGTCTATGGAATTAATACAAGAGTTACGGACGATACGGTTGATCTGGTTGATAGCAACGTAATTCCACTTGTTGAAAAGTTAACGGACGTTGTTGTTTCTAATTCTATAGTTGGTCTGTTATCCCCAAATTATAATACAGCAGGTTTTACTTCCACATGTGATATAAATAACTCATTCATAAATGATCTTATTTCTTTCGGTTCATCAGTAAAAAAATAGCTTTAATTCTAATAATTCTAATAATGAACATAATTCAAATAGAAATAATTTACTCGATTGTCTTCAAGATGTTGATTCGCTTTTAACATGTTTTAATACCAGCATTGCTTCTTCGTCTTTAATTGTACCTTATACACAATCCGCAATAAGTATTAAATTACTTCTCCTAGTTTCCTTTCATGGTCAGGTATAAATGCTGTAGCTTCTCAGCCAATCACTTCTTCTTTTAATCTTGATTCTTCTACAACGCAAGCTTCTTCTAGTAATTCATTACCAGTTTCAACCAACACTAATATTTTTGCATGTTCTTCTAATTCATCACGTCATGAACTGATACGTAAAATTGCTACTGATAATTACTTAAATACCGCAAATAAAAAGGTTAAATTGCATCATGTTTATATAAATAATTTAACAGAAAAGTTTAATCTAAATGATTGTGTAGGCGTTCAAATCCATACAGTTGATCGTACAAACACAGACGCAAAACTTTTACCCTGCTTAATTCTTGAAAGAAACAAAAAAAATGATGATCTTGTTTTCAAATTAGTTTGTCAATACGGTAAACTACAGAATGCATTCTCAGTTGAGAATATTATAGATTTAAAATCAGCTTGTCCACAAGAATTAAAACAGCTTAATGTTCATGAATTAAAAGATATTTCGTTTATCGAAGCATGCAAACTTTATGTACGTGGGGCAGTAAGCGACACATGTGATTGTAAATCAAAATGTGCCACAAAGCACTGTCCATGTAAAAAAGCTAATGTACCATGTTCGACAAAATGTCATTCAAAGCGAGGAGGTCGTCAGAATATGGGAGAATAGTGTGTCATGTGTCTTAAAGTGTACATAGTGTAAAAGTTTTTGATTAAAAAAATGTTCTTCAATACAAATTAATTGTAAATATGATGATTTGCTTTCTGCTGTTATGAATAAGTAAACTTTTTGTGAATTTGTTGTGGATAATATGACTTTTCTTCTATAAAAAAACCCAAAAAAATCCCTACTACTTTGACAATCATGCCACCTTTACGCGGTGAAGTGGATAAGTATCCTGTTCAGCAAAATGATTCATTACCCAACAGGAGAAACTAAAAGCGTGATTTTAGCATATATCATCAATTTCGTGACTTCGTTAGCCATGATTTCTGTTTTTTCCATTCTTATTCCAATTTTGCCTGACTTAGTCAAACTTAGAATTCTAATTTTGCCCAGGCAAACTTGGAATTCTAATTTTGCATACGCAAATTCGAAATTTGCCTACAACACATACCAAGAAGAAACAAATATGACTACATAACTTTGGTACTGATAACTAAAGATTCTGCGGATAACTTTGGTTAGATTCATCAGATTAATTTTTTCTGGATTTTCTTCGCCGACGAGGCGTGGTTTGTGACGGAAAACAAGAGTGAATTCATAAAACATCTTCAAGATTTAGAATTCGAGGAAAGAGATATCAAAGTTATCGCGAACATGCTACCCATGGGGAAATTTTAGTAGGTACCGCGGTGTGCACACGCGTGAATATCGTGTGAAATGAATTGTGGTCGCGCGTGAACATCGTAAAATGGTGTGTGGGCACGCGTGAAAAATATATTCACGTGTGACAACAGGTGAACTGGTTACGAAAACGTTTCGCGTCATATTTTTCGCACGTGATCACACGTGAAAGTCATGAAGTGTGTAGTGGCCACACGTGAATTTCTCATGTTAAAATTTCCGTAAAAAATATCACTTACGCGTGAAAATGATTCCCACTAATTTTATTGTGAAAAATATCTTCACATTTATTCGCACGTCAATGTTTCACGCAACTCATTTCGTGAATAATATTCACGCTTAATCGCAAGCGACAAAATTCTTACGTTTCACGCACGTCCACGTGTGAAACCTTTTACAGATGTGAAATGTCGTGAAGATTGAACGGCAAGCGTAAATACAAGTTTCTCCTATATCTTTCGAAAGTTGTACATACATACAGATAAAAACCTTTGTTGTAGACCGAAGGTATTTTCTGTAGGAATATGCCTGGGAATCATCTTGTTCCCTCGGAGGAAGTATTAACTAAAATAGTTTGGAAAAGTTGAAAACTAAGAAAAAAGATTTAGGAAGTTCACGCGTAATCACGCGTGAGAACTTTTTAACACGTGCCTTAGTGAATGTACTCAAGTGTCCCAGGCGAAAAAAAATCGTTAGAAACGACACGAAAAACGCGTTTTTTCCGAACGCGTTAGCAAACGATCGTTAAAAGAGCCGTTTAAACGCGTTTTTTGTCATTCAGAAGTTTAGAATAACGCGTTCTTTGACAACGCGTTTGCTAACGACCGTTAAATTAACCGTTTTCTGGCGTTTTTGTTAAACGC